AATACCAGTCCATTTCAGCTCACTAATGCCTAAGATATATCGATGTTGATGCGTTCCATTTCATTTTTGACAACTTCCAATTTTCCCAGATTCATACTTCGTGCATTCCATGTTCCGATTGTCAATGGATGTTTACAGCTGTTTCTCTTCAATTTGATTTGTGGCCCATTAGCAAATGAAGGGAGGTTCTGTGAGCATTTCTCCCCCAAGCTTAACTCTATTCACGTCATCATGGTCATCTTGGTCAACTCTACTTTGAGGAGGCATTTTTTCCCCAGTCGCATTCTGAGTGCCTTCCCTCCTTCCGGTCCTGTATCTGACAGTGTTTCTCTGCTATTCATAGAGTTTTCAGTGACTAGTGATTTGGAAGTAGTTTGTCACTCTTTCTTCCTAGCCTGTCTTTGTTTGGAAGCTCATCTGAAACCTGTCCACCATGGGTGACCCTGCTGGTTATTTAAAATACCGGTGGCATAGCCCTCAGAATTCAAACCACCACAGCATGACAGACAGACAGACGAGTGGCGGTTGCGTGGTTGCTGTTAAATAGGAATCTCCTTGTGCTAGGACCCTTAAGTCCGGCTCAAAGGCTGGATTTCCATAGTCGGATGTCAATCAAGAGGCGAAAGCACAGCAGGGGCGACTGGGTTGTAGTGAGATGCTTTGGGCTGCGCATGTGGGTCTCTAAGTTGGTCGACCCCCGCCTCAAAGCCACGATCCAATGTCCAGGGTAAGTAGGACAGCCTGGCCAGCCCCTGCAGTCTCTTCCCGCTAGGCAACGTCTCCCCATCGACCTGGTCTCCAGATACCTCTCACCCCGCCTCTCGGTGGTCTGGGTTTCATTTAACACCTCCACCAGGTCTGCGCAGTTCTTGCACATCGTTTAACCGCCGCCCTCCTTGAAAGAAGCCCTCATGCTGTGGACAAATAGGAGGCTCAAATTTCTTCTGTTGGCAGAATTTCTTTCTTCACCACTGTGCCTCATGGTCATCTGAGGGATCTGTAATGTCCACCAGTTGCCCACTTCCATGTGGTATCATCTAGATCCAATTGTAAAAATTATTGAAGACCTGCAAAGAGCTTTTGTTTATGTAGATTATATCCATAGACTTTGGTGGTAGTGGTGGTGGTTATGTGATTCTGCACAGGTTTTCCAAGGCTGTAAATCTTTACGGGAGCAGAAAGCCTCATCTTTCTCCCACAGGAACAGCTGGTAGTTTCAAACTGCTGACCTTGAGGTTAGCAGGCCAATTTGTAACCACTAAGCTACCAGAGCTTTCCATAGACCTTAAGCATAATAGAAATCAAAATGAAAATTTGAAAACTCAAAAATGCAAAAGCGTCCATCAACCATCATAGGCTTTATCCCCTGTTAAAGTTTTCAGAAGCTAGGCAAAGCAATGCAGTGCCTAGCCCTCAAACGTGCCATGTGCCTTTGCTCTCAGGTCAAGAATCACTGCGCAAACAG